GGCTCGCTGCAGGCACCTCAACGTCCAGGATGCGGAGCTCTCCGTCTTCAGTCGTCGTCGCGTTCGCGTGCATCGTCAAGCGCAAACCCGGTCGCTCCCCAGACCACGACACATCCCGTCTCAAACGTACCCGCCACGCTCAACCAGGATGTTGCATGCCACCGTCCCCATACTCCTCCTGCACCTGCACCGCCGTCAGCCACGACAGCGAGAAGTCGGTGGCTGGTGGGGTTGCATTGTACACGTCCCACCGGCCCTGCACCACCTGGAACTTGTACCAGTCATTGATGGCAAACAGCGTCTCGCCATTCACGTCCAGGCTCGCTGCAGGCACCTCAACGTCCAGGATGCGGTAGCTCTCCGTCTCAGTCGTCGTCGCGTTCGCGTGCATCGTCAGCGCAAACCGGTCGCTCCCAGACCACGACACATCCGTCTCAACGTACCCGCCACGCTCAACCAGGATGTTGCACGCCACCGTCCCATACTCCTCCTGCACCTGCACCGCCGTCAGCCACGACAGCGAGAAGTCGGTCCGCGGAACCGGGTTCCACGCGTACGGTTGCGGTTGCACCACCTGGAACTTGTACCAGTCATTGATGGCAAACAGCGTCTCGCCGTTCACGTCCAGGCTCGCTGCAGGCACCTCAACGTCCAGGATGCGGTAGCTCTCCGTCTCAGTCGTCGTCGCGTTCGCGTGCATCGTCAGCGCAAACCGGTCGCTCCCAGACCACGACACATCCGTCTCAACGTACCCGCCACGCTCAACCAGGATGTTGCACGCCACCGTCCCATACTCCTCCTGCACCTGCACCGCCGTTAGCCACGACAGCGAGAAGTCGGTGGCTGGTGGGGTTGCATTGTACACGTCCCACCGGCCCTGCACCACCTGGAACTTGTACCAGTCATTGATGGCGAACAGCGTCTCGCCATTCACGTACAAACCGGCAGCGGGGACGTCAACGTCCAGGATGCGGTAGCTCTCTGTCTCTGTTGTCGTTGCATCGGCGTACAGGAGTGCGTGAGCATGCGCCTCCCCATGCATGCGAAAGTCGAACACGATGTGCTCGTCATCCGTTGAGAGGAAATGACACGCCATTGGGGATGCGGGGAGATCTGCGCGGCGCTTGAACTTTGCAGTGGTCGTCACGGCAACCGCGCTATCACGCACATTGCCGTTCACACTGGCGTTCCACAACGCACGAATGCTCTCCCACGCATCATCGCTAAACACTCCCGTGCCGTCAATGAAGACCCCACCATCACCGCCATCGCCGCCATCGCCGTCACGCCCGCTGGTGCTGTTACTGTTCACACACACGCGTGCCCGTGCGCCCTGCGGGACATTCCAAGCGCTGATGTTGGCGTGCCACGCGTGGATGCCCCACACGCCCCCGTCATCGTCACTGCTCACGAGCGAGTGCTGAATCGATGTGTGGGCACCTTGCTGGGTGCCTGTCGCGTGGCCGACGATGGTCTCGCCCGTGCTCTGGAACGCGATGGAGTGGTGCAAGACCACGTGCGTTTCTGCGCCACTGCCTGTCCATGTCGCGGACGCCGACATGTTCAGCCACGCTGCTGGCCACTGCGGGGCGTGGATGTCAACCTCAGCCCATGCGTTCTGCTCGCGACTGTCATAGCTGAATGCACCAATGCCTGCGCCCTGCACCCTGCCGTGCGCAGAGAGGCTGCCACTCAGGGTGACGATGACGTTGTCCTTGACGCTGCCCAGGGCGCCTGTCATCACAGTGACGTTGCCGGCAATGCCGCCTTGGGCGCTGCTGCTCAGCGAATCAAACAAGCGGGCACGCAGGGCAAAGCCAAGACGGGTCCACGCGTCAGCGCTGGTGTCGTTGTCGTCGTCATTGCGGCGGCGGCGGCGGTGATCTGTGGCGTTGTTGATGGCGTGCAACAGGTGCGAGCGCGTGTCGTGTAGGTCTGGCGGCAGCAAGGCGTTCACAAGTGCGTCTGCATCTGCGTCGGTGGTGCCACCAGCACTGCCGGCGTCGGGGTTGTACTCCTGCGCGAGGTGGAAATGGCCGAGAGCACGCGTGAGCACGTTGTCCCGCTTCTGTGCAGAGCGGAAGTATGTGGTGGCATGTTGAGACAGCAGCGCCGTGCCAAACTGCCTGCCAAGCAGTGGCAGCAGGCCACCGGCCCCAGCCCTAGAGCTGGACGCGGCGGCTTTGGCGAGCAGGGCCTCTGCTGCATAGCTACCGTCGACATCAAGCGTTGCTGATGCTGACAGGACCTCCACGTGCACATCCGCCTGCAGTTGCCCACCGAGGACAAGCGGGATGCTGTGGTCGTGAAAGCCCACCACCACGACGTCCTCTCCAAGCTTGCATGGGCGCAGCGGGCCTGCTTCTGGCAGCGTCTCCCAGAAGGGCGCGCTGGAGGACAGAGAGACCAATGCAGGCGTCTTGGTCCACAGCAGAAAGGTGGACTGAGGCAGGTGCAGGGTTGCCCTGTCCAGGGGAAGGTGAGAGCGCACAAGCGATGCGGGGAAGGAGCCGATGGTGACTGGGGTGGCGGTCGTGGTCGACTTCAGCCCCGTCACGTGCAGCACCAGCGAGGCGGCCTCCTCTGTGCCGCGCTGCTGCTGCTGTTGTTGTTGTTGTTGTTGTTGCTGCTGGCCAACGTGGGTGTGGTACATTGGATCCGCGTTGTGACGACCATCGCCAACCACGCCGGGCTTGGGGTCTTGGTCGCTGGTGTTGTCGTTGTTGTTGGTGTTGTTGTTGGTAGTAGTGGTGCTGCTGGTGCTTGTGAACGGCTGATCCGGCTGTGGCGGAGATGCACCTTGCGCCTCCATGTAGGCGAGAGCGCTGTGGCCCAGGCTGGTGAGGATGTCGGTGATGTTGAGGGTGGTGTCCAGGGTGAAGGGCCCGACGTGGATGGCACCAAAGACGTCCACATCCACAGGGACACGGCAACGAGCCGTCACGACCGGCAGCTGTTGCTGAGAGCCGTGGTGGAGGGACGCAAGGAAGGAGGAGCGGAGGTGCCCAATGCGCTCGAGGCTGGACACGCGGATGGTCACGTTGGTGACAATGGTCCGGTGGTGGCTTGCACCGAGGCTCACGCCGACGGGAAGCTCTGCCAGGGCCAGGTCCTCGCCGCCCACCAGAATGGCACAGCTTGCCTCTCCAATGTGCATGGTGTGGGCGCTGGCGATGTCTGGCAAGGTGGCGTTCAAGGTGATGACCACGTCTGCAGGCGCGCCGGTGCCCGCTGACGATGACGCTGATGATGACGAGGAGCTTGGCGGCCCATCGCCACCACTGCCGCCGCTGTTGGGGTTCTGTGGTGGGGGCGTCGGTGAGGAGGCGAGTGTGCCACCGTCGGAGGCAGCCGTGTCGATGATGTAGATGTCAACGGCGTTGAGGGATGCGTCGTCCATGTTGGTGTTGTGCAGCAGCACGTACAGCGACACGCCAAGCGAGACACCAAAGAGGACTGCGGAAAAGGCCATCAGGCCAGTGAGCCACTTGCATGCGCGGCGGGCTCGGTGCTGGCCAGTCGTTGCGGAGGTGGTGGTGGTGGTGGTGGCTGCGTCCATGTTGCCGGCCATGTCCGTGGAAGAGCTCATTTTGATCGCAGCAGTGTCGCCCATGATGCTGCCGCAACGGTGGCGTTTCTGCTTGCTGCTGTTGTGTTCATCCGTCCAAGCGTAGGCAACCATGGCATGCTCACCATGCCCGTGTCTGTCTGCTTGTAGCTCGACCACATTGCCTTCCTCAGCCAGGTCCAGCAGCTTCACGCGGTCGCCGCCGGGGTCCATGGCTTTGTCTGTGTCGTCTGTCTCCTCGTCCCTTCTTTGCTGTGGCTGTTGTTGTCGGAGGGTGTGCGGACAGCAGTGGGAAAATGCGCGCAAGCAAGCGACAAAGACAACAAAGACAAAGGAAAAGAAGGATGTCCGTTCCACCCTCTTTTTGTTTGTTTGTGCTGTCGTGACTTGATGAGTCATCCCCCGCGTGGCACTGACTTACATGTGTGTGTGTGTGTGTCTGTGTGTGTCTGTGTGTGTGTGTGTGTGTGCGTGTGTGTGTGTGTGTGTGTGTGTGTGTGTGTGTGTCTGTGTGTGTGTGTTGGACTTGTCATCTGCCATCACGTGCGTGTTGCATTGTTGGTGGCTTCGATTAAAATGACACAAACTACATACGACGATGTGAATCACATCGGTCAATCAATCACTTACAGAGCTAGCAGTCAAGCAGAGATGGCCAAGCCACACACACACGCACACACACACGCACACACACACACACGCACGCACACGCACACACACACACACACATCCCGACACAACTACACTCGCACCACCCTCCCCCAACACACACACACACACACAAACACATACACACACACATCCCGACACAACTACACTCGCACCACCCTCCCCCAACACACACACACACACACACACACACATACCGACACAACTACACTCGCACCACCCTCCCCCCCCCCAACACACATATGCGCGCGCTAGCACTCGGAGCAGGGAGGAGGGCAGCGTGTTGAAACGATGATGTTGGGATCAACGCAGAGACACAGCCCCAATCCAGCGCAGTCCAACAGAGCCATGCCCGGCATGTGGGACGCCCTGATTTCACCACCGACAAAGGCCAGCGACGTGAGGTTGAGGGAGGTGAAGCTGTTGCCGTCCAGTTGCAGGTCTCCACCAACATGCGACAGCGAACCCCATGAGGAGATGGCCGTCAAATCGTTCAGGTACAGACTCAGGTCACCGTCTACACGCGTGAGGTCGCCGAACCTCAGGCTCTGCAGGCCGTTGCCGGTCACATGCACGTGGCCACCAACTGAGCGGAGCGAACCAAAGTCAAACCACGTCAGCGAGTGGATCGACGTCACCTCAAGGTCCTTGCCAATGCGCGTCACGTTGGTAAAGGCGAGCGAGGCAAATGCGTTCGTGCCAAGCATCAGGCCGCCGCCTATCTCCGCCAGGCTGCCAAATGAGACGTGCGTCAGGGCGTTGTTGGCCAGCTTCACGTCCCCGCCCACGTGTGTGAGCGGCTCGAGGCTTATGCTCGTGATTGCGTTGCCAAACAGGTCCAGAGCGCCACCAATGTACGTCAGCCCACGAAACTCCACGCTGCGCAGCCTGTTGTTGTAGACGCGGAGGGTGCCAGCAACGTGTGTGATGGCGCCAGCATCAAAGTGGGTGAGCAAGTTGTTGTACAGGTCGAGCGTGCCGTTGATCCGCGTGAAACCCATGCTGCTGCTGCTGCTGGTTGGAGGGATGAGGGTGGTGAGGCCGCACAGCCGCAGGAAGATGCTGCCGGCGACGGGCGGGAGGTCGTTCATGTCGAGTGTGCCCAACGGGTTGGAGCTCAGGTCCAGGGAGGCTCCGATGGAGGTGAGCTGGCCGAGCCCGTCCAGGGCGGTGATGTTGTTGCCGAAGAGCTGCAGGGCGCCACCAACAGACCGCAGACTGCCGAGGGGCGCGTGCTGGAAGTTGTTGCTGAACAGCAGCACGTTCCCCAGCACCTGCGTCAGCGCCGGGCTGAGCAGCAGGGAGGTGAGCTCGGCGTTGTCGGAGACTTGAAGGTCGCCATTGATGGTCGTGATGCTGGACAGGTCCACAGCACCGAGGCGCTCGTTTGATTTGATGACGAGATCGCCAGCCATGCTGTTGATGCCGCCGCTGACAACGCTGGTGATGTGTGGAAGTTGGTCAAACATGACCGAGAACGGCACCTCGCGCGGCAGCAGGTCAGCCAGGTTGAGGGTGGTGGCGTTGCTGTTGTCGTTGCTGTTGTCGTTGCTGTTGTCGTCGCTGTTGCTGTCGCCGCCATTGACTGAGCAGCAGATGGTGAGTGTTGCACCGGTCCGTCGCACCTGCTCAAAGTCCAAGGCCGCAACCTGAGCCGCATCAACGTACAAGAACCGGTTAATGCTGACGTTGCGCAGGTCGACGGTAGCGAGGTTGCGGTTGTCCGTGAGGAAGACTCTCTGGCCAACGAAGAGTGGCACGCTGTGCCCCAAGCGCAGGCTGGCCAGGCCCGTGTTCGACAGTACAAACATGTTGACCCGAGCAAGGCTGTCGAAGTTGATGCTGTGCAATCTCGGGCTGTTCACCACCCGCACCGCCGAACGAGCCCAAGAGAGGTTGGCCATGCTGATGATGCCCAGCTGTGCGTTGTCGCGGAAAATAACGCTTGAGCGTACGAAGGTCAACTGATTCGCGTGCACCTCCACGAGATGGGGATTGGAGCTGATGAAGACGTGCGATGGAACCAAGCTGAGCGCGTCAAAGCGGATAGAGACAAGCTTTGTGTTTGAGATACGGATGGGACTCTCCATTGTTTCCAATGCCGGAAAGCGCAGATGTTGCTCATGGGGCGCGACGGCAATGTGCGTGGCGATGCTCGTGATTGCAGCGATCTCGGGACAGCAGCAGTCCTCCACCGCGTACACGCCGCAAATCCTGTACAGCACAAACGCCGCGCGTGAGATGGGGTCGGAACAGTTTAGGACAAACAAGGTGTCCACGACGCAGTCGGCGCCCGCATTGCTGGTGCTGTTGCTGTTGCTGTTGATGATGTCGTTGTTGTCAGCGTTGTTGCTGCTGCTTGCGCGGGAGGCAGATGTGGCCGCGCTGATGTTGAGGAGCTGGTCGCGGATATCGAAAATGGCCTGCGACAGGTTGTTCAACTGGTCCACCACCGGCACACTGTTCACCACCACGCGCCCTTGCCCTCCTGTTGCTGCCCTTGATGTTGCTTGCCCTTGTCGCGTCCCTTGCTGCCCTTGACCACTTTGCACGTGGATATGCCCGCGGCTTTTCACATGCAGCGAAGGCTGGTTGCTGCTGGCGTTGTGGTTGTAGTTGTGGTTGTTGGCGTCGTCAGTGGCGTCATACTCCACGACAAGGCCATAGTCTTGGGCACACACGCGTGTGCCGCTGAGCAATGCTGCTGCTGTCGCCACAACCACCACCAACCACCAGGAAGCAGCGCGCGTCATCACCATTGTGCGCGCGTGTGTGGGTGTGGTGTGGGTGTGGTGTGGGTGTGGGTGTGTGGTGTGGTGGAGCGCGTGCGTTTGATGGTTGTGATCGATGGTTAGATATCCGTGTATATGTCTGTATGTCGCCTGTCGTCGTTGGGCAACGGAGCACCGAAGAGGACGGTTGTGAGAACTCTTGCTTCTGCAGCAGAATGCAGTCGATGATGATGATGATGGCAGGAGGCAGACGCACAGCAAGCAAGCGAAGGAAGCAAGCGAGCAAGGCAACCAACCAAAGAACAGCGGCTGACTGCACACACGGGCACACGGACTACACTGCCCACGCGTGTTCACGACTGCTTAAGCGCTGTGATTGTTTTTATTTTAGGACGTGCGCAACGCAGAGAGAGGGGGCGGCGGGTGAGCGAGCGAGCGACAAGGGACTCAGGGAGGAAGGAACACAAGAACAACACGGCCTCCGAGGCATCACGATCGTTGTTTGCCTGTCTCCTCATCACACCAGCAGGTGCACGGCAGGCCAGTTGGTTTGTTGGGTGTCATTTTGGGTCAGCAGCAGCTAGCAGACGACGGCAGCGAAGCACAAGGCCACCCCCACGACCCCAACAACCAATCAACCAAGCAGCCTGCAACCAATCAACAACCACAACCACACCATAGCCACAACCTCATCACAGCGATATCAAAGGAACCATGCGGGACGGAAAGTGCGCGCCTGTGACGCGGCGGCTTAGGGCAACCGTTGCCGTCATCACGCTTTGGTGTGTGGTGGCTGCAAGCATCATCGTGGGCATCGCGCATGCAGACCAAACCACAGGTATCAGCACAAACATCACAGGCAGCAGCAGCAGCATTAGCAGCAGGAGCGTGGAGGACCCCAGCGCCAATGCGGAGTATGTGTTGGGGGTGGTGAACCGCACCTACTTCTATGGGGTGACGCGGCCAATGGTTGACCGGCTGCTGAACCGGTCCAGCATCCCGCACCTGATTGACATCCTCGGCATGGGAGACACGTTTGAGTTCCAGGACAACACGGTGGTGTTCCTTGGGTACCTGTCCAACGACACGGACGACGCCGTGGCTGCGCTTCGCTCATATTGGTCCGCCTTCACCACGGCAACCACAGCCGCTGCGCGCCGCTCCGTGCTGCTCATCCCGCACGCGCTGAGCCTGATGATCCAGCTGCGGCAGTCCAGCAAGGCGCGCGACTTTGCGCTCGAGTTGATGGCGCATCTGGAAGCGCCGGAGCACAGCGCCATCCACGCCATCCTGCCCCGCATCTCCGCTCGCCGCAGGGAGCAGGCGGAGGCGGCCGCGTCCATCGTCAAGCAACTGGTGCGCGGGCTTGCGCTGGACAACGAGAGCGCGGCGATGGTCGGGTTTGAGCAGGTGGTGACGGCGGCGGATGCGCTGCCGCCCAATGACGACTTGACGGCCGCCCTCGGGCTGCTCACCGTCTCGCTGCAGCGAGAACTGGACCAGGGCGTGCAACGCGACCTCACGCGCCAACAAGGTTTGCGTTTGTCTGTGTGTGCGTCTGTCTGTCTGTCTGTGTGTCTTGTGTGTGTCTGTGTGTCGGTCTGTGTCTGTGTCTGTGTGTCTGTGTCCGTGTGTGTCTGTGCCTGTCTGTGTGTGCGTGTCTGTGCCTGTCTGTGTGTGTGTGTGTGTGTCTGTCTGTGTATTTGTCTCTATTGATTGTTAGGTCGTATCGGTGCACAACGTCGGCCCTTCCCCCCCCCAACAAACAACACTGTCGAGAGTGACCAGTGCGGTGCATGCATGTATGGCAGACCATGGTGATGGGTTCTTCTCGTTCTTTCCTCGCAAGACGAACAATGACAACGCCAGCAGTGGGAGCAACAATGACGACGACGACGACAGTGTCTACAGCGCCGCGCAGGGTACGTGGGGTGTGTGCACTCATGAGAGTTGACACGTCGTGCAATGTGTGTATTGCGAAGTGTGCACTCTGACATGTGGTGATTGCCGTTTTCACTCACCCTTGCTAACACACACACACACACATACATACACACATACATGCACGTGCCCTCTCTCTCTCTCTCTCACACACACACATTAACATAATTACACACACCGACACACATGCACACGCGACACCCAACAGGCGACGAGGCCATCCTGATGTCGTGGTGCCAACACACCGCCATCACGGATCCGTTTACAGAGGAGGTGGTGACTGCCGTCACCCACGACATGTCTGTTGTCACCGCGCAGGCACAGTCAGACTTTGACGTGCCGTGCTGCATTGGCTTTGCAAACGCAGGCCAGGGCGTGGCGTTTGCATATCGCCTCCTGCTCCACCTCTACCCACACCGCATCCTCTACACAGAGGTGTGCGTGCGTGTGTGCGTGTCTGTGTCTCTGTCTGTGTCTGTGTGTGTGTGTGTGTGTGTGTGTGTGTGTGTGTGTGTGTGTGTGTGTGTGTGTGTGTGTGTGTGTGTGTGTGTGTGTGTCGTCGTTGCTCTCGCTCTCTACCTCTTTGTCTCCTTCTACCTCTCTGTCCTCACCACCCTCCATTCCATCCCCTTTTCACCCTCCGCCCCTCCCCCACACACACACGCACCCACCCCCACCCCCTTACTTTTGTAGATCTTCTATGAAGACTTGACAGGCCCACATGGCAATCATTACTTCCGCGCCTTGCAGCACCTGCTTGGCATGAAGCCCACCGCCCTCAACACCGCGGGCCTCGTGCGCGTGCACCCGGGCCACTGCAGTGCCAAGATCACCAACTGGCCCGCGCTCCGCCGTTACTTTCTCAAGCACGGCCTCCACCAGGCCGTCCGCGCGTGTGAGCTGCCAGCGGGCAAGATCTAAGGCTTTCGTGCTTTCGTGCTTTCTTGGCTTCGTGCTTTCGTGTTGTGTTATCGCTTCGTTGGCTCGGATTGATTGCATATCGTGTAGCCAACACACACCCACACAAACGCGCGCGCGCACTGTTGTTACACATCTAGGGCTTGCTCTCGCGTTGTCGCCGTCACTATGTATTGTCTCCCTCACGTGTTGGTTCATCCCTTGTGTCGATGGATACGAACGCTCATTGCCAGTGTAGTTCTGCCTTGTCTATGTTGATGTGTGTGTCCAAAAGCATGATGAACTGAAGAAAACGTCTTCAGCTGTGTGGTGTAGCATAACATACCATGGCTGGCAAGCGAAACAAGCGTGTGGGCAAGCAAGGCAAGACCCCGCAGCTGCGTCGCCCAGCATACAAGAAGCCGGTCGAGAGCCTGCATGCGCTACGCATCCGTCTTAGGCTTCTTGCTGCTTTGTGTCGTCGCCGCCTTGTCTTGGTGCGGGGCGCCCTCCGCTGCCTCATCGTCGTCGTCGTCGTCGTCGTCTGCGTCAAGGTAGTCCTTTGATACATCTAATTAGAAACAAGAACGACGACAGCGGGTGAGATGTTGAGGGTTGGAAGGCATAGCTGAGTACCTGATGGTCACGATAGCAATGCGCAGCAACATCAACGCCACACATTGACGCGGTACATAGGCGCGGTGTATAGACGCGGTGTAAAGGCACGGTGCATAGACATGGCATCCATACACACACGCACACGCACACGCACACGCACACACGCACGCACACACGCACACACACGCGCGCACACACACACACGCACACGCACACACACGCGCGCACACACACACACACACACACACAACCACACACCTTCTTGTGTTGTGTCGCCTTCCATGTGTTTGGTGATGGCTGCGTTGATTTGCTCTTTCGCAGTGCCAAGCACACTGGACAGTGTCTCCGCGCTGCCGCGCGGCACCTTCACCACCTCAGTCCAGCCGGGGCCCTCAACCTCAGCCACCACCTCGCTCATCTTCTTCCTGGTTGTTGCAGCAGCCAGTCAGCGTCTGTTGTGTCTTTCCTGCCCAACGTGTTTTGGAAATTTTTGCAACGGCAGCGACGACCACCGACTATGGTGACAACCTCGCGACTGGTGAGCTGTCTTTGTCTTGGAGTGACTCTCGCCCCCTCCCCCGCAATGTCTGTCTCGCTTCCCCCACTTCCGTTTTCCTCCCTCCCTCCCTCCCTCTCTCTCTCTGTCCCTCTCTCTTTCCTCTCTCGCGTTCACAGCACATGTGCCGCTGGTTCATGCCACCCGCAAATGCGTCATCATGTACTCACACCAATCTGTGCACGCGTGGACAGGGAAGCGTGTTTGTGAGCCAGGATGATCCCCTGAGGCTGTTGGACAGCCTGTCCAGCTCGCTCGCCCTCAGACGGTCGCGTGTAGACACGTACACATCCACCATCAAGTACTTTGGCCGTCCAATCCTCCCACCAGTGGTCAGTCCCTGTGCATCTGTGTGTGCATCTGCTGTGTGCATCCGTTGTGTGCATCCGTTGTGCGTATGTGTGTGTGTGTGTGTGCTGTGTGTGTGTGTGTGTGTGTGTGTGTGTGTGTGTGTGTGTGTGTGTGTGTGTGTGTGTGAGAGGGGGGGGAAAGCGAGCACGAAAGCCATTTTCCGTGCATGCTTGTTGCCGTCACTCTCTCCTTTGTTGTTGGTTCAAACCCTCCTCGTTCCCCCTCCTTCAACACACACAGGTATCGCCGGAGAAGCGCCAGGAGATTGCACTGATTCGCCAGCAGTGCCATGCTGTTGCGAGCCGCCTCACAAAGCAAAGAGGCACGGCAGCGATGCACAATGCAGCAAAGAGAGAAGAAACTGGGCTCCGCTCAACCGCCGCCGCGGCCACCACACACAACAGCACCGCCGTACGTGATGAGCGAAACGACTCGCCGGACGAGCGCTCGGTCTTGAGCTCGTCTCAGGCGAAACGCCATGCGCGCATCACCTTGCCACTGTCCCCCGTTCGCTCTCGGCCAACCTCACGGCAGCAGCAACCGGGCCGTGCGCCCTCCTCCTCCCGGACAACAACAGCAATGCCATCATCAACAACAAGAGCAGCGGCCACAGAAGACCCAGACTTGGGCCTGTCCCTCCCTCTCCCGAAACGAGAGCAATACCCACCGCTGTTTGTACAAATCGCAAACCAACAACAACAACAACAACAACAACAACAACAACAACAACAACAACAACAACAACAACAACAACAACAACAACAGGATGAGGTGGAAGATGCTGTTGCTGCACTGCTGTTGCGCCTGAGCACCGCCGGACCCCAAACGTCAACTGCACCAGCCCAACCACACACCAGCACCCACAAATCACAGCCGCACAAACCATCAAGCAGCAGCAACAATGGCAACAACAACGGAGATTACAAACAACCACCGATGCACCACGCACAGACCGTGCACAACGATGGGAATGACGGGGGCATGCGCTTGAGTCGTGAGTCTGAAGACTTGGACAGCGAACAAGACTTGCAGCCGCAATTTCTGACCATGGTGCCATCGCCGGCAAAGCATTCCTCTGTCATTGTCAACGAGATGCGCGCAGTCAACGTCGTAGTGTCGTCAGCGGGGGAAGAGCCCTGGAGTGATGACGACGATGGCGTCCTGAGTAGTGCTGACATTTTGCTGGAAACAAGCTCTATGCCTTCCACCACTGCAAGCACCAGCCAACACCACCACTTGCATCAGCATCGGCGTGATGTTGTTGCCGCACCACCGCCACCACCACCACCACCACAACAACAACAACAACAACTTCGACGCCGGCCGGTTCTTCGCACCTGGGATGCAGACGCTGCAGCCACGTGCATTGCATCTGTGTTTCGGGGACACCTCATTCGCCGTATGCTGCGAACTGTCAAGTGCCAGTCCATCACACGGACCATTCTGGTATGTCTGTGTGTCTGTGTGTGTTTGTGCTGCATAATTTGCAGCGGTTCAGCTTGGTGCATGAGTGCCACGATTTACAACTGATGCACACACACACACACACACACACACACACACACACACACACACACACACACACACACACACACACACACACACACGCAAGCACACGCTCACGCACGCACGCGCTTATTCCCTCATCGCTTCATGCGCATGTGCGTGGGTTCAGGACTCGATTGCGCTCTCTGACGATCTTCGCACATCGCACGACAAGGCCGATCACATGCTCTTCGCTCGCACATCCGCACAGCTTCAAGCAGCTCGGTGTGTGTCTGTGTCTGTGCCTGTGTCTGTGCCTGTGTCTGTGCCTGTGTCTGTCTGTCGCTCTGTCGCTCTCTGCCTCCCTCCTGGAACGGGTATTTCGTGGACGCGCTGTTGCTTCGTTTATTCGTCGGCACGCTCGCGCAGATCTGTCTTGCTGCATGTTTGCGAGGCGGTGTATGTTCGAAGCGTACGATGGCATGCTTACCACGGTCACACATCTCTGCTCACCCAAAACACCACAATCTTAGGGATGAACTGCATCGCCTCGTGGTCGACGTCACGCCGGCACAACGCGTTCGCTTCCTCCAAACATACAAGTCAGTCATTGCGCCAGCACCCCCGTTGTGGTGCCTTTCATGCAGTGTGAGTGTATCGTGTACACGCAGTGTGTATCGTGTGCATACCAAGTCTCTGCCATGAGATACCACTGACTCAAACACACACACACACTCTCTCTCTCTCTCTCTCAAACACACACTCACTCACTCACTCACTCACTCACACGCGCACTTCCACACGATCGTCAGGGTGGGAAAGCGACGTGGCAGCTGAGCTAATTGTGATCTGGTTGATGGTGCCTGTGCTCGCATTTCCCTTGGTATGTGCATGAATGCATGTATATTGACCCAACGGCAGTTACACACCGCCTCGAACGCGATAAAAAGTCATCAAATCACCTCCTCTCCTCTCTCCCTGGTAATAATAAGCTGAACCCGGCACAACTGAGACACGTCGTGCACTCACACACCCACGCGATGATTCACAACAACAACAACAACAACAACAACAACAACAACAACAACAACAGCAACAGCAACAACAACAACAACAACAACAACAACGCGCCTCAGCTCAGATGAGGACTTCGCTGTTGTCGGCGTCGTTGAGCGATGTGTCCTGCACCGTCCATGCCATCCTGTGACCCTGGGCGTCAGTCTTGCTCTGGCCAATGTCGTCTGAGCCAAACCCGCTTGTGCTCCCGTTGTTGCTTGTGCTCGCTGCGCTGCTGCTGCTGCTGCCGCCGCTGCTAGCATCGCTGCCATTGCGCTGCGGATGCTTTCCCGCTGCTTTGCCCATCCATGAGTTCAGCTTCACACTGGCACCATCACCATCGTCGTCGTCGTCGTCGTCGTCTTCACCATCGCTACCGCGCAACTGGGCGGCCATGTCCGCGACGCCGGCATCGCTCGTCGTTCGCGAGAACGAACGCGAAGGGCCACATGCGCCCTTGCCATCGAGCTGCGATGTGTCTCTGGCATCGCTTCTGGGGTTGTCATTGCTGACCTTGTCGTTGCCTCCGATCACGTGCAGAATGCTTGAAATCGAGACCCGGCGCTCCAGTCCACGCTTGGGCGTTGCAGGTGCTTCCGTTTCGGTGGTGCCATCAACATCACCATTGCGTGCCATGGTGTCTGCCGCCTCGTCGCTTTCTTCTTCCGCCTCCCTCAGCACTGTCTCATCAGCAGCAGCCATGTCGTCAGCAGCGTCGTGGGCGCCACTGCTCGCCTTGCGCTTCGTCTCAAACAGCGCGGCGGTGTCGCTGCTGCTGGCGTGGTCAATGTCGTCTGCAATCAGGAAGTACGTCTGCATCTTGCCCTTGCCCTTGATGTGCATTGCCTTGCGTGGCTCCAGCAGCATGTCTGGCGCCTGCTGCAACACCAGCTCCGCCGCGGCCTCAGACATGTGGATGCGGTTCTTCTCGCTGTTGCTCTCCATTCGCGACGCCGTGTTGACCTGGGGTAGTGGGGGTGGGGGAGTGGAGGATGTGTTGGTTGACGAGGGTTGGCGTGAGGATGCGTGACGAGAGGGTGGGGAGAAGGGGTGGGGAGAGAGCAGGCAAAGAAGGCGTGATACAACAGTGGCAGACACACACATACAAAGACACACACAAGCACAGACACAGACACAGACACACACAGACACACCCACGCACATACATACACAGACAGACAAACACACACACACACACAAACACACGCACACACACACACACATAATGCGCACCGTGTCGCCGAAGAGGCAGTATCGCGGGTTCTTCGTGCCAACGACGTTTGCAACGACGGGGCCGGAGTGGAAGCCAACGCGGATGTTGACGCAGCCGAGGTCTGGCTCGTCCTCCTTGATCAGCGTGCTGTTGGCGGCCTTGATGGCGGCAACGGCAAAGCGGCCGATGCGCGCAGCGTGGTCCTTCTGCTCCTTCAACAGGTTCGTCACTGAGAGTATGAAGGGGGTGGGAGAGGAGGACAAGAGGGGACGTGTGATGATGGTGAGGAAGCGAAAAAACTTGCGTATCATATCGATGAGACTCGTGAAAGGCAACACAGAGACACAGACACGCACATAGACATGCACACACACAACACACAAGCACCGCCCCCACACCACCTTGTGACCGCACCTGCCATGTAGGCGTCGCCGATGGTCTCGACCTTGAAGAGCTCCATCTCGTCGGCGAGGGCGTCGAGTTTGGTGTAGAGGCGATCGAGCATGTTCATGACGTCCTGCGGGTTGAGCGTGGAGCTGATGGTGGTGAAGCCCACAATGTCCGAGAAGAAGATGGTCACGCAGTCGTGGTGCTCGGGCTCAATCTTCTTGCCCTGGTGGTGCGACGTGGTGCGAAGGAGAGGAAGAGAGGAGCAGAGAGCAGGGTTGTGGGTTTAGGGTTGGATGGATGGATGAGGAAAGGCGGGCACAATGGAGGAGGTTGCAACTTGAGGGTATGCGGAGGAGAAGTGCATCCGGTGCAAAGGGTGCAGCACACAATTACATTCACGCACAAATACACACAAAAACACAAACGTGCACACACGTGTATGCACACACACACACACACACACACACACACACACACACACACACACACACACACACACACACACACACACACCACATCTCACCTCGCGAAGGGCCTTTGCGATGTGTGGCGGGAAGACGTCCTCGAGCACCTTGTTCGAGTCCTTGCCCTTCTTGCTGTACTCCTCAACACGGCAATCAGAGGGGTCAATGTGCCCAAAGCGGCGGGCCAGCTCGTCAAAGGAGGGCCGGCGATCCGGGTCGGGGTGCCACGCCTCCCGCATCAGCTGCGCAATGACATCGGGGCAGTTGGCCGGTACGAGCGGACGGCGCTTGCGCTTGATCACCTCTTTCAACGTGTTCTCGAGATCAGTGTCTGCCGGGTACGGGTCCTTGCGGCTGAAGATCTCAAACTGGTTGGAGGCAGTGGTGGTGGTGGTGGTGGGATGAGCAAACCGTGTGAGTTGGTGCGAGAGTATGAGAGTATGAGGGACGAACGAAAGACACGGTGCAAAGGTGCAATCGTGCAAACGTGCAAAGGTACACACGCATGCCTAAACACACACACGCCATCATACCCAACTCACCAGAATAATGGCAAAGGAGTAGACGTCTGAGGCGACGCTGGTTGGCTCGCCGCGCAGGACCTCCGGGGCCATCCAGTACGGGGTGCCGCACGCCTTACCGCTCCCAGACTCGCTCAGGCCAAAGTCAGACACCTGCGAGGAACAGTGGGGATCCAGGATGAGCGCTGACAACGAGCGAATTATGCACACTTGCAAATACACGCACACGCACACACGCACACGCACACATGCACGCACGCACACATGCACGCACGCACACAGGTACACACATGTACACACATGTACACACACACACACACATGTACACACACATGTACGCACGCACGCACACACCCATACCAGCACACCAGCTAACCTTTGCGCGGAACTTTGAGTCGACGAGGACATTGAGGGACTTGAGGTCGCCGTGGATCAGGGGCGGATCGCTGGAGTGCAGGAACCGGCAGCCAGAGACAACATCGATCGTCTGTGTGATAATGGCAGTGATCATGTGGTGGCTCATCATGAGGTGTGACGCAGCGAGGCAAAGAAGGTCAAGTGGTGTTAACACCAAGCACATAGCTCACGCAACCGCAACAGCACTCACCACACACCGTGCCCTTACTGTTACGTACCACGTGGTACCGTGTTTCACCATCGAGCTCCATGGTTTCGTTGTGCAGGATGGAGTAGAGGCTTCCCAGGTCCATGTGCTCCATCACCATCATCGGCTCAAATCCTTTGATCATCACCGCTCCCATAACCGTCGTCACACATGGGTGCCGCAGCTTGGACAGCGTGCGCATCTCCTTAATGAAGTTGTCCCTGTGTGTGTGTGTGTGTGTGTGTGCATGTGTGTGTGTGTGTGTGTGCGTGTGTGTGCGTGCGTGTGTGTGTGTGTGTGTGTGTGTGTGTGTGCGTGTGTGTGTGCGTGCGTGCGTGCGCGTGCGTGTATGCGTGTGTGTGTGTGTGTGCATGTGTTAACATGCGAGCGCATGATTAAAGAAAGAGGGCGAGCGCGTATGCATAATGACAACCGCACTTTGGGAGGTGCATCGCCGGCACCTTCGTGACAGCATGCAACCACGATCCACTCCCACAACAAGGGCATGCCACAGCATACAATACAGGGCTAGTACCACGAACAAACACAAACAGACGAGCAAACCCACCTCATCTTGATCAGGGTGGCGCGTGTGCTCGCCTTTCCGAGCATGCGCCCAAACAGCGTGCGTCCGCCCTGCTCTCCGGACTTGGTGGTCCGGGCCCTGTTTGCATAACACCGTGAAAAGGAAGACGTGATTCAAGGAGTGAGTCGTCTCATGCAAATCACACCGCCAGGACCAAGGTCTGCGTCATGCAACACATCAGCCTAGGTACCTCACCGAAGCCTTAGCTCCCCCCCCCCCTTCCCAATCCTCCGCAGCAGCTGTCTCGTCATGTCGTTCATTGCACTTACCTGGTTGTCGACTGGTGGCCCTGTGCTTGGTCTGCAGCTTCATCAAACACCTATAACGGCCAACACCATGAGCAGGAGTACATGCGGGTGCATATGAGTCTATGAGTGGTTGACAGGGAGCAGCGCTCGACTTGAGCTCGCTGAAAGCTGCCACACGCTCACTCACAGCTGTGTAGGCACGCACGAACGCGCGCGCACACACACTTACACACACCTTGCACACACACACACACGCCGCGCACATCTTTCACACCACCACATACACAAACACACGCCTGCCACCTCACCTCCACGATGTACTCCATGGCTCTCCTCTCTCGCGTCTTGATGGACCCGAGCACTGTGCTTGACGTCTTTGAACGGCGCTTGCTCCTTGGGGACTTGCGCTTGAAGTTGGAGCTCGACCCCTGCGCGGCGCGAATGCCTGCAAGCACAGCCGGGCTCAGCACGCCCTGCTTGTCGCGGGTGGCCAGGCTGGCGTGCGTGCGCCTGCGGTGGAGGTCTGGTGGACCAACGCGCTTGACTGCGACGGACGTGCCACGGTACTCGGCCTTGACAACCACACCGTACGTGCCCACGCCAAGCACGTCAACGGGGTCCTCAAACTTGAGCTCAAAGGGGCGGATGTGCCACAGCGTGTCGACCTTCTTCTGCTGATAGCGCATGGCCACTAGCACAATGACGACGATAAACGCTGTGAGCGGGATGAGGATGGTGATGACGAGCACGGCCACAGGGGCGCACGCTGTGCCGAGCTGGACGTAGCCAGGCTCACACTCGCAGTCGCCCGTGCTCAGGAGGCGGGCGTTGGCCGGGCACGCTGGCTTGCACGGCTGGCACAGGCAGTCGTAGCCCTCGCTGCAGTCGATGCCTGCGAGCTCACAGCCCATGGCAACTTCCTCATCAGACTTCTTGACAAATCCAAACGGGCACACGACGGCCTCAATGATGGACTTGGTGCGTACACAGGAGAACGAGCCCAGACCATCCGCAAACATCACCCCGAGGGACACCTAAGACATGTGCGTGTACATACGTGTGTGTGTGCATGCGTGTTAGAGAGGGGGCAAGAGGGGCAGCGAGTGTGGATGAGGATGTGTGAGTGTGAGCGAGTTTTGTGCATGCGTGTGTGTATGTGTGCATGTAGTAGACGTGTTCCGCAGGGTTGCATATGAATGGGAGCACTGATTGCCCAAACGAACACAGAATGCAGCAGGATAACTAGCCCACGGTGCCAGCAAGTACAAACGTCAGACTCACGCACACACACACACACACACACACACACACACACACACACACACACACACACAAACACACACACACACACCTGGAGGGCACGGGTGACGGTGTAGGAGAGTGGTGCCTGCCAAGCAGCGTAGCGGCCCTGAATGGCAAACTCAGAAGTTGGTTCGAGTGCAATCAGAGCATCCATCACGTCCACTTGAATCTAACCCATGGCACACGAAGTGGTTATGAGTGTGGGTGCGAAGGTGAGGGTGAGTTAGTGGGTGTGCGGGGTTGGTGAATGTGGCAAGAGTGGAGTCGCAAGTTTTCGTTTGGCGTGCTGGCTAGGGCTCTCTGCAACTCCGCAGGAGTGCTTACAGTGGTGAATGGCCAGGCGTGTATGCTGACACCATACCTGCCAGTCAACGGTCGGGAGCGCAGCCAACGCCCATTCAGGGGAAAGCACCTCCGTTGATGTGATAAAGGGAAACACGTTCCCCTCCGTTGTGATGACGTTCTCGGCCTCGAGGATCTTCACTTGCTTCAGGTCCAGCGTTCCATTGAACACTTGGGCTGAACCGTGAGTGGGTGGTAACAGAATGCAGTAGACGGTGGCAGTTGCAGAGTGAGACACAAGCAGACGCCCAGTCGTGCGCAATGTACATGGTATGCAGATCCAGCACAAATGGATACACATAAGCACAAGCACACAAGGGCACAGCCGCACATTCATATGCTCATTCACCCACACACTCTCTCTCTCTCTCTCTCTCTCTCTCACACACCACACACACACACACACTCTCTCTCTCACTCACGTGCCCACTCACGCGCACCACGATCAAACAACCAAACGCACGTCCCACGCGTACATTACAATCGCACAACCACACACCTTCGAGAACGCCTGTGGTGACGAAGCCAATGTCACTTCGGCCTTCCATGACCTCCTCCACGACAAGGTTCTCATCTCCAGTGAACTTGACCTGGGGAGAGAGGGGTTAAATCAGAACCACAGCGTTTTGACGTGGTGAGATACGTGGAGGTCTTGCGTGTGCGTGGACACAGAAGCGGACCGTACTGGTCGAGTTTAACATAAAGTCAACACCTTGCCAAACGCACTCAAGCAAGGCAAGATTCCCCCAGCAGCCACATACACACACATTATTTCATGCATTTGACACAGAGACATTGACGCAAAGCACGTGCTGTTTCACTTCGTGCCAATCACCTGTTCCGTGTCGACGAGAAAGTCCACGCCTGCGGCGCGAAGCTTGCCCCATTGCGACTGGAAGCCACCAAACGTGATGAAAGACACAGCGGCGACCTGCTTGTTGATCACATCATGCAGGGTGTTGATGTCGTCGCGGTCTGCACGTGTGAAGATGACGCCGCCAAACTGGCTCAGCTCCTCGCCTATCATCATATCGCAAGCAGGAGAGAGTGAGTGACCAAGAACATCTTGGCGCCTCGCCTGTGTGTGCTTTGTCCCGAAACCCAACGCGGGCCAACCCACACGAACAAACACAACAACATCCATAAGGCAGGACCAAGCCTCACCGAGATCAAAGCGACGCAGTGTAAGCAGTGCGGACATCCCGAGCTCTGCCTCCACGCAGGTGAACAGCGCCGGGTTGGTGAAAGCAAAGTCATACTTGTCGTCAAGGCCATCGTCAATGAGATCTTTAAACTGCGTTGGATACGTGACGACGGACACCAGTCCGTCGTACTTTTCGCTCAGCACACGGTTCAGATACACGTCGAACGTGGGTGCGAGCGTCTTGTTGAAGTAGTCAAAGCCTATTTGTGTGCGTGCGTGTGCATGCGTGTGTGTATGTGCGTGCGTGTATTTGTGTATGTATGTGTATGTACGTATGTGTATGTGTGTATGTACGTATGTGTGTATGTGTTCAAGGAGGGGACAAGACGTGAGGATATGTAGTTTGGAGGAAAGGTGTGCGCTTCAGCGTTGTACATGTTGTCACCACGAAACTCGAAGCACATTCATTGGCTGTATCCAAGTGTCTTTCAAAGATGATGATGAGGCAGACTGCTGGATGTCGTTCCCCACACGCCAAACCAGACAGAAGTCAGACAGAAGCACTCCTTTTCGGTCCAGGCTCAAAAGTTCAAAGTGGGTCTGTCGATTTGCGTCATCACCAACCTTTGTCGCTGAGAGCGGCAACAACGAAGGTGCGGTGGGTGACGGTCTCGTTTCCCCGCGTCACGGAGCGAGTCACAACAGCGGAGACAGGTGGTACGCTATGCAGCAAACACAGCGCAAGCAGAACGACGGCGACGCTGGCGACGGTGACGCCCGGCCACAAGCGGCACATGGACTTGGCAGCAGCCATTCTCGACGTTTGGCGTGTGGAGCGGGGGTGAAATGTGGCCATCAGGAACCCCGATTGGATCATGAAGGAGCAAAACACTGTCCTTTGGGCGAATGGTGCGCCCGCCTGACCGCTGTGGCCTTCTGCCGTCCTGGCGTGTGGGAAAACTTTTCAGCGACCCGAAACGAGTGTTGAGTGCGCATGGCGGGACTTGGGCGCGCGGGGGGTGGGGGGCAGAGGACTTGCGCTCAAACACTCAAACAACAGGGCAGCGGTACAAGTCCCAAGTAAGACAGCAATCAATGCAAGAAGTCATGGAACACTGGAACAGCTGATAGTAGTGTGAACACGAAAGGGTGAAAAGCTGAAGGGGTCTGGCCTTAGGGCCTTGTGGTGATGTGATGATCACGATGTCGTCATCCTGCGTCATCTTGCGTGTGCGTGCGTGTCCCAGAACCACGAATTTTCCCATCATCAACAACACAACAACGCCAGTCAGAGATGGCGCAGGTGTTCACGGTGGTGGTTGTTGCGGTGGTGCTGGGTGGGGTTGGTCTCAGCCTCCCAGCGTTGGCGCAGCAGGATGGCGAGCCACCCATGACGGATGCCAATGGCTGTGTGTGGTCCTGGGGCTACACGCCTTGCTCGGCACCCTGTGGCGGTGGCACCTTTACCCGCTTCAAGCAGGTGTGTGTGTGTGTGTGTGTGTGTGTGTGTGTGTGTGTGTGTGTGTGTGTGTGTGT